TACATCTGCCTCTCTCACCCTGCATCCACATCCTGTATCCACATCCCACATTCCACATTTCACATCCTGCGTCCTGCATCCACATCCCGCATCCCACATCCCACATCCCGCATTCCACCACATTCCACATTTCACATCCTGCGTCCTGCATCCACATCCCTCATCCCACATTTCACATCCCGCATCCCACATTTCACATCCCGCATTCCACATTCCACATCCCGCATCCCGCATCCCGCATCCCGCATCCCGCATCCCACATCCCATATCCCACATCCTGCATTTCACATCTGATATCCCACATTCCTCTTCCCTATCCGCACCCCACACCTGATCCCCATCCCACAATCTGATCCCCACACCCCGCTCCCCACCCACAGCCCGATGCCGCTCGGCGCCCCCGGCCCGGCCCCGCCGCCCCGCTCGGGCCGCAGCCCCGGCAGAGGGAGGCATCGAGCCGCGCTCCGCCGCTCGCCCCGCGGGCCGCGCTCCGCCGCTCCCGGCACAGCGCAGGGGGCTCTGCCCAGGGGACCCCGGCCCCGCACCTTCCCTCGCAGGGGCAGACGGCACCCGGCTCTGCCCGTGCGGGTGTCCTCGGGCTCCCCAGTTACCCTCAGGGCTCCCAGTTACCTTCGGGGCTCCCAGTTATCCTCTGGGCTCCCCAGTTACTCTCCAGACTCCCCAGTTGCCCCGCGGGCTCCCACTTACCCTCGGGGCTCCCAGTTACCCACGGAGCTCCCATTACCCTCTGGGATCACCAGTTACTCTTCAGACTCCCCAGTTACCCTCTTGGGCTCCCCAGTTTCCCTCGGGACTCCCCATTACTCTTGGGCTCCCAGTAACCCTCGGGGCTCCCCAGTTACCCTCGGGCCTCCCAGTTGCTCTCTGGGCTCCCAGTTACCCTCGGGGCTCCCCATTACTCTTGGGGTTCCCATTACCCTCGGGGCTCCCAGCTGCCCAGGAGGGCTCCTGCCGAGGCAGAGGGGCTCAGCAGCCGGGTCTCTTGAGCACCAGCACGGGAGATGTTGCTCCAGGAGCTCGGGCTGCCCCAGCCTGGCCAGGCGCAGGTGCCTGCGGAGGGGTTTGGGCACAAGGAAAACCCACAGCGTGTCTCCTCAATGCCAGAGCCAGGGGCTGTCCGGGGACCCAAGGGCTCTCCTCTGGGTTTGTCTCACTCCTTTTTGAGCCTGGGGAAGCCTCTGCCACCCACGGCGTGTCCCAAAGCTCCTTCCCACGGGACGGGGTCTGAGGGGGAGGACAGGGGGTCTCACCTGTGGACAGGGCTCTGCCAGGATCTCCGGGCAGAGATTGTCAGAGAAGTGGCACTTGGGGACATGGAACTGGCAGTGCAGGGGGCTGGAATGAGATGGCCTTTAAGGTCCCTTCCAACCCAAAGCTGTCCGTGATTCTGTGATTCCCAGTCCAAACGGGCCAGCTGAAGAGGCTGAGCTGCAGCATGCCCAGCAGCCTAATTAGTGCCTGCTAATTGTGGGATGACAGTTGTTTCCTACTGGACCGTTGTTTCCAGTGTGCTGGTGGTTCAGCCTGAGCCAGGCAGAACGCTCCAGGTGAAGCAGAGACAAAAGCAGGGAGGACAGAACTTGTGTAATTTTAAAGAGAAACCGCCTGATTTCTGGTTACAGGCTGAGCCCAAAAGCCAGGGTTCCGTAAAGGTCCCTTGGCAAACCCGGGAGCTGCTCCTGTGTCAGCTCCTGTTTGGGACCCCAGCCCAGGTGTGCAGGGTCACCCTGCCAGGCCCAGACCCCTCTCCTGCTGTGACCCCCATCCAGCCCCTCACACACATGGGATCAAGCCCGGATGGCCAGGGATCACTGACTGCCTAGGGCCTGGTGGCCAAAGGATGTCCCCAAGAGCTGTGCATGTCCCCAGAGCCACCACAGCAGCAGTGCCCACGGGGGCATGGCCTGCAGCACCAGCCCTGCTGCTCCTCAGGGATGGCCCGGGCAGGACATGGCCCTCACACGCCTGGTTCCATGGAGGATGGCAGGACACGGCCCTCACCCGCCTGGTTCCATGGAGGATGGCAGGACACGGCCCTCACACGCCTGGTTCCATGGAGGATGGCAGGACACGGCCCTCACGCACCTGGTTCCATGGAGGATGGCAGGACACGGCCCTCACATGCCTGGTTCCATGGAGGATGGCAGGACACGGCCCTCACATGCCTGGTTCCATGGAGGATGGCAGGACACGGCCCTCACCCCCCTGGTTCCATGGAGGATGGCAGGACACGGCCCTCACACGCCTGGTTCCATGGAGGATGGCAGGACACGGCCCTCACCCGCCTGGTTCCATGGAGGATGGCAGGACACGGCCCTCACCCGCCTGGTTCCATGGAGGATGGCAGGACATGGCCCTCACACGCCTGGTTCCATGGAGGTGGGCACTCTGCAGCCCCAGAGCAGAGAGGAGCCGGTGCAGAGCCATGCCCAGGCCCTGGCCCCACTGCCCACTCTCCAGCTCCAGAAATGGGGCTTTCCACGCCTGCTCCTCCCCAGCCATCCTGGTTCCCTGCAGGGCTGACCCAGGCCTGCACAGAGCTGATAGTTTTAACGTGGGGGAAGGCTCTCCCATCCTCCACAAGCTCTCCAACAACCATCCCCACATCACACAGAGAGGAAGGAGGAGGAGAAAGTCATCTTTAGGCAGCAGCACCTGACATGGCCAGTGCGAGCAGTGCAGCGTCCACCCCGAGAGACAGGAGCTGCCAGAGTTCACCTCTGCCTGCCCCGAACCTCTGTGTGCCCCATCTCTGTCCTCCCTGGCCCCAGCTCTGCACAGCCCGTGCTGGATGCTCAGGGGGGCTGGGGAAGTGCCTTATCTCAGCACCTTTTGTGCCACACAGCAGCAGCTGGGGCAGGGCTGGGCTCTGCTGAGCCGGGCAGGGCACAGCTGGGGCCGGCGGGTGCAACCTCAAATCACAGAGTTATTTACTGGGTTCCTAGCAGGGATGGACAAACTGGGCAGGGAGGAGGTTCCCTGGGGCACTGGGCCTGGGACAGTGCAGAACAAGGAGGTTTGGGGCAGGGGTTTTCGGGGACAGGGGTGCAGGTGGCTCCCACACCTGGAAGCTGCAAACCCTGGGGAGCAGCTGCCCCGTGGCTGCAGCCTCGTGCTTGGGGCACCTCTGGAACTGTAAAGTGAGCCTTGGAGGGCAGGGGCAGCTCACCCCCCAGCTCTGCTCTGCTCCCTCTGCCTCTCACCACACCAGGACCCCACCTAGGTTTTACCTCTGAGGGTGGAGAAATCCCGAATCAGCAGAGCTCAGCACCAAACCCGGCCTGGTGGAAAACCCACAGCCAAGACTAGGGATGGGCTTGGAGCAGCCAAACGCCAGCACCTCTGCTGGAAACCCCGGGCACTGATGGGAGCAGCAGGGTCTCACGCCAGGGCGGGGGTTCTGGGAGAACAAACTGGGTCTGCCCCAGTCACTCTTGCTGTTCTTCCCTCCCTGCTTTAAGCCGTGCCTCAGTTTCCCTGCCTGAAAAAGTGGATTTGCTGTTGTTTGTGTCAAGAAAAAATTGGTTGGTCCTTTTGCCTCATCCTGTGGTTCTGTAGGTCCTTTTGCATCCCCCAAAGGTCTGTGGTCCCCTGGGCATGAACCAGCAGAGGCTGCCCCAGGAAGCTGCCACATTCCAAGCAGAAAGGAAAAGGCATTTCCTGGGGAAGTGCTGCTGCCTCCAGACCCCCTCTCAGGGCCTGTTTGGAAGGGACTTGTGAAAAACACAAGCTCCTGGGGCCACAGGAGATCCTGGGTGAATTTTGTGCCTTTGAATCCATGGAGCTCAGTCTGGACAGCTTCGTGCTTCCCAACACAACCATCTGTGCTGTGGGTCACCCTGACCCACACGGACCCAAAAGCTGCCCAGTCCCAGGGGAGGAGGCTGGGTTGGGAGCACAGCAGGAGCTTGGCTGGAGCACAGCTGGCTCAGCACCCATCTCCCTGGCCTGGGGCTGGCTTGTTCAGGGGGACACTGCACCCCCACCCCCAAAGTGGCTGGGCATCACTGCCCAGTCAGAACATCCAGGCTGGACAGGGCTTGGAGCAGCCTGGGACAGTTGAAGGTGTCCCTGTCCATGGCAGGGGGGTAGAAATGGATGAGCTTTAAGGTCCCTTCCAACCCAAACCAGTCTGGGATGCCATGATGCTAAGATTCTAATGAAAGAATTCGAAACATTTTAAGGAATTCTATTCATTCTGAGGATGAATTATCTTGCTGTGTCCCTGGCTAGAAGCAGGACATGGGACAGCAAACATGCCCCTGTCCTGAAGGGGATCTGCCCCTGCCATGAGCATTTCATGGCATTTCTGGAGAGCAGCCACTCTGCTTTGTGCCTCAGTTTCCCCAAGGGAGCCCTGCCTGTGGCCAGCATGGGGGGAGCAGGGGAGGAGGAGGACAAGGTGTGAAATTCCCTATCTTAGGGGAACAGGAAAGTTTTCAGCAGCAGCTGGCACGTTCCGTACACCCTGTCCCCAATGTGCAGCAGGGCAGCAGAAGGGGGATGGAGAAGAGGGGCTGGATCTCAGGATGTGTCCCACCATCCCTTTGGGAATGCAGAGCTCCTGAGCCTGCCACGGACTCTGCCCCACAGACAGAGGAGGGTCCTGAGCCCCTTGCTGACACAGGAGTCAGCCAGCCCATGCTGGGGACTCCAGAGCTGCCTTCCTGGTTCTGCTAAGAAAAATAAATAATCAATTAAAAAAGCTGTCTGTTTTCCCGTGGCTGCCCCTCTGGCTCAGCAGAAATGTTTTCTGCTGTGTCAGAGTCTGACTCAGCAGAAAGGGGACACTGCCCTGGGGCCAGGGGCTTATCACTGCCCACAAGGCTCCTGTTTGTGCCACCCCAGTTATCACCCCTGAGCACGGCCAGGCTGGGGCCAGCAGCGTGACTCAGCACCCTGAGCCTGTGCAAACTCATCCCACCAGTCTGTGATGGGAGAGCCCATAAACATCCCATAAACTGCAGAGAAAGGGCTCCAGTCCTGGGCATGGGGGTGAGACCCCTCACCTTGACCCCAACTCTGACCCTGGTCCCGATCCTGATCCTGGTCCTGATCCTGACCCTGGTCCTGACACTGACCCTGGTCCTGGCACAGATCCTGGTCCTGATTCTGACCCTGGAACTGATCCTGACCCTGGTCCTGATCCTGACCCTGGTCCCAATCCTGACTCTGGTCCTGACACTGATCCTGGTCCTGATCCTGACCCTGATCCCGATCCTGACCCAGCTCTCAGAGCCCCCTTTCTGCCTGGGTGTGTGAAGAGGAGCCTCAAACAGCAGCATGCCCTGGGCTGGGTGTAACGGGGTCTGTGGGACGTGCCCTGAGCCCACCCCAGCTCAGCTGCTGTTTGGGGCTCCCTGGTTCTGCTCAGTGCTGGTGCAGGGCAGAGCTGAGCAGAATGAGTGATGGAGCTCAGGAGCACAGCTGGCTCAGCACCCATCTCCCTGGCCTGGGGCTGGCTTGTTCAGGGGGACACTGCACCCCCACCCCCAAAGTGGCTGGGCATCACTGCCCAGTCAGACCGTCCAGGCTGGACAGGGCTTGGAGCAGCCTGGGACAGTTGAAGGTGTCCCTGTCCATGGCAGGGGGGTAGAAATGGATGAGCTTTAAGGTCCCTTCCAACCCAAACCAGTCTGGGATGCCATGATGCTAAGATTCTAATGAAAGAATTCGAAACATTTTAAGGAATTCTATTCATTCTGAGGATGAATTATCTTGCTGTGTCCCTGGCTAGAAGCAGGACATGGGACAGCAAACATGCCCCTGTCCTGAAGGGGATCTGCCCCTGCCATGAGCATTTCATGGCATTTCTGGAGAGCAGCCACTCTGCTTTGTGCCTCAGTTTCCCCAAGGGAGCCCTGCCTGTGGCCAGCACGGGGGGAGCAGGGAAGGAGGAGGACAAGGTGTGAAATTCCCTATCTTAGGGGAACAGGAAAGTTTTCAGCAGCAGCTGGCACGTTCCGTACACCCTGTCCCCAATGTGCAGCAGGGCAGCAGAAGGGGGATGGAGAAGAGGGGCTGGATCTCAGGATGTGTCCCACCATCCCTTTGGGAATGTAGAGCTCCTAAGCCTGCCACGGGCTCTGCCCCACAGACAGAGGAGGGTCCTGAGCCCCTTGCTGACACAGGAGTCAGCAGCCCGTGCTGGGGACTCCAGAGCTGCCTTCCTGGTTCTGCTAAGAAAAATAAATAATCAATTAAAAAAGCTGTCTGTTTTCCCGTGGCTGCCCCTCTGGCTCAGCAGAAATGTTTTCTGCTGTGTCAGAGTCTGACTCAGCAGAAAGGGGACACTGCCCTGGGGCCAGGGGCTTATCACTGCCCACAAGGCTCCTGTTTGTGCCACCCCAGTTATCACCCCTGAGCACGGCCAGGCTGGGGCCAGCAGCGTGACTCAGCACCCTGAGCCTGTGCAAACTCATCCCACCAGTCTGTGATGGGAGAGCCCATAAACATCCCATAAACTGCAGAGAAAGGGCTCCAGTCCTGGGCATGGGGGTGAGACCCCTCACCTTGACCCCAACTCTGACCCTGGTCCCGACCCTGGTCCCGATCCTGATCCTGGTCCTGATCCTGGCCCTGGTCCTGACCCTAGTCCTGGCACAGATCCTGGTCCTGATTCTGACCCTGGAACTGATCCTGACCCTGGTCCTGATCCTGACCCTGGTCCCAATCCTGACTCTGGTCCTGACACTGATCCTGGTCCTGATCCTGACCCTGATCCTGACTCTGGTCCCCATCCTGACCCGGCTCTCAGAGCCCCCTTTCTGCCTGGGTGTGTGAAGAGGAGCCTCAAACAGCAGCATGCCCTGGGCTGGGTGTAACGGGGTCTGTGGGACGTGCCCTGAGCCCACCCCAGCTCAGCTGCTGTTTGGGGCTCCCTGGTTCTGCTCAGTGCTGGTGCAGGGCAGAGCTGAGCAGAATGAGTGATGGAGCTCAGGCCAGTCCCTGACTCACTCACAAGTCTGGGACCCCAGAGGTGCTGGGATGAGTCCCATGGTCTCTGCTGGGGCAGTGGGAGAGGCTCTGCCAAGGGCTACCCCAAGGACCAGGTCCAGTGCCTCTCCTGCCTCTGCAGGGTGATTTCCCCAGGTTCCACCCCATTTTCAGAGCCCCTTTTGCTACTTGAATAAGAGCCTGGTGGCAGGCTGGGGTTAGGTGTGGAGTCAGGGCAGGTCTGCCCTCCCCAAACCAGCCCCAACACAGGAACAGCTCTATCCATTGCCAGCTTTAAGGCTGGAAAGGCAGAACTAGACCCATAAAACATGTTCTTTCCCAGGTGGTGCCATGCCATGAGCAGGAGGAGAAAAGGCCTTGCCTGACCTGGAGCCACCCTCACACACAGGAAACCTTTAGTTAGCACGTGCCCCAGGACTGTGAGGTCCAGGACAGCTCTCATGGTTCCCAGACAACGCTGGGATTTTTTTGGAGGTCTGTGATGGAGAGAACCTTCTGCAAAGCAGCGAGAGGCAGAGCCAGCTCGGCCTGGGGCAGGTGCGGTGCTGGGAGCACTGTGAGACCCCTCGGAGCTCACCTGGCCTGCCACAAAGGGGGCTGGAGCTGCTGAGGGACAGCAAGACCCTCACCCTGAGGGCTCTGGGGCTACCTGGCTGAGGGGTACCTGCTCTGCAGCCTCTGCTGCCAGCACAGCACAACCCAGCATGGGTCAGGTGCTTTTCCTGCAGCGGGGCTTGGCTCAGCCTGTCCATGGAGCCCGGGGCTCCCCCAGGGGCCACGGGAGCTCTGGGGAGGGGGAGAGCAGACCCACGGCTACAGGAGCAGAGGGAAGGGTCCTGAGGAGAGTCCTGTCCCATCCTCTTAGTCCGTGTGAATCCTGCCTGGGGGCACTGGGCAGGGAGGGAGGAGACCGTGAACCCCTGTCCTGGGACAGCTCTCAGCTGCCCTGAGAGGAAAACAGGATAGGAAAACTCAATGTACCCCATGGACAGGAGAGGAGAAGCTCCAGGGAGAGCTCAGAGCCCCTGGCAGGGCCTGAAGGGGCTCCAGGAGAGCTGCAGAGGGACTGGGGACAAGGGATGGAGGGACAGGAGCCAGGGAATGGCTGCCAGTGCCAGAGGGCAGGGCTGGATGGGATCTGGGCAATGAGGAATTGTTCCCTGGCAGGGTGGGCAGGGCTGGGATGGAATTCCCAGAGCAGCTGGGGCTGCCCCTGGATCCCTGGCAGTGCCCAAGGCCAGGCTGGACACTGGGGCTGGAGCAGCCTGGCACAGGGGAAGGTGTCCCTGCCATGGCAGGGTGGCACTGGCTGGGATTTGGGGTCCCTCCAGCCCAAAGCACTGCATGGTTCCAAAGCAGAACTGCACCTGGTGGGATGCTGTGCTGTGGGAGATCTGTCCTCGGTCTGTCCAGCCCCTGTGCTGACCCTGCCGGTTCCAAACAGCCGGAGCCGCCTGGGCCGGGCTTATCTGGGGCTGCAGCCCGGGGCTATCGGGGCCGGCCCCGGGGAGCGGCTGCGGGCTGCCCGGGCCGATACGGGGAGCGGGGCCCGGCCCGGGCGGGGGTCCCGGCTGATAGCCCGGGTGAGCCGGCATGGGCCAGCAGCCGAGCCGGGCCAGGACAGCGCCAGGGTGGGCACGGGGCTGGGAAACCCGTCTGCCTCCCTTGGCCCTCCCTTCCCTGCCCAGCCACCGTGTCCCTCCCTAGTGTACCCTCAGTGTCCCCCCCTCAGTGTCCCCTCAATGCCCCCTCAGTATCCCCCTCAGTTTCTCCTCAGTGTCCCCTCAGTGTCCCTCCCTCAGTGTCCCCTCAGTTTCCCTTCAGTGTCCCCTCAGTTTCCCCTCAGTGTCCCCTCAGTGTCCCTCCCTCAGTGTCCCCTCAGTTTCCCCTCAGTTTCCCCTCAGTATCCCCTCAGTTTCCCCTCAGCGTCCCCCTCAGTTTCCCCTCAGTGTCCCCTCAGTGTCCCCTGCAGCCTGGGTCCCTAATGTGCTGAGATGGAGCCCAGCCAGGGCCGGGGCAGAGCAAACCCTCCAGCAAACCTCTGCCCTCAGCGAGCCCGTCCTGCAGGAGCCTGTCTGCAATGACAATCCTGCTTTTGCCCCTTTCTGGGTGCTTCTGCCCGAGTTCTGGTGCTGAGGGATAACTCAGGAGCAGATTCATTAAAATTTAGCTTTGTCCCAGACATCCTGGCCCTTAGGCCTCACCTCATGCCCCTCACCCTGTCACCACCCACTGGGGCAGCTCTGGAGCCCATGGCACTGGGGTGGCTCCAGTGCCACATCCTGGTGGGTCCCTTTGCAGGGACACAGGGACAGGGATGGGCAAACAGGGTCCAGCAGGTTCTTGGGCATTTCTGCGGCACCCTCCCCAGCAGTGTCACCCAGGACCCACATTGCAGACCCAGGAGATTTCCTGTAAAATTAAAGCAATACTGTGGAAAGCTCCAAGTCAGTTAAAACATGTTTGTATGAGAAGTGAGGCACATGTTGGTATTCCTGGGGTGGTCTTGTGCAGGGCCAGAAGCTGGACACAATGATCCTTGTAGGCCCTTTTCAGGAGGAATTTGCCCATGGAAAGGGTGCTCAGGCCTTGGCAGGGGCTGCCCAGGGAGCTTTGCAGTGCCCATCCCTGCAGGTGTCCCCTGGGGGTGGCACTGAGTGCTCTGGGCTGGGGACAAGGTGGCCATGGGGCACAGCTGGCACTGCCTGGGCTGGGAGGGCTCTGCCAGCCCCAGGAATTTGGGATTCTGTCCCTTTCAGCTCAGGATATTCCATGTTTCCATGATTACATGGCATGAAGGTGAAGCTGGAGCAGTCACAGCAAGGGGTGCTCCACAACTCTTGGAGTCAGACCTAAAAGATACCAAGGGTTAAATCTGGATCCTGAAATGAGAGAGCTTTGTTAGGGGCAGAGAGGAATTAATTTACCCTCCACTGCATTTCCCCTGGTTGTTACAGCAGGGAAACAAACAGGAATGTCTTTGTGCTGAGAGCGGAGTCCCTCAGTATTTGGGATTCTGTCCTTCCAGCCTGCTCTACAATTCCAGCCTGCCTGGGGTCTCCACTGTGGAGCCCCCACACCTCTGCTGCCTGTGGTGTCTTCCAGTATCCCTCTCCCTTCTAAGGAAAAAACTGCATTTCCAGAAATTCTTTTCCACCATGTTCAGGCAACAACCAGTCCCAGCCAGGGGGAGTTGTACAAATTGTTGTGATTCAGACACACTCGTTCTGCATTTCCCTGCATTCATCACTGATCCCATCCTGCATGTGCTTAGAGCAGCTGTTCTGCCCCTTTCACTAAAGTCTGGGAGCATCTGGCTTTGCTGTGCTGCTCTGGGCACCCTGTGCCAGCCCCTGCCCACCCTGCCAGGGAACAATTCCTCATTGCCAGTATCCCATCCAGCCCTGCCCTCTGGCAGTGGGAGCCATTCCCTGGGTGCTGTCCCTGCAGGCCTTGTCCCCAGCCCCTCTCCAGTTTTCCAGGGGTTCCTGTTATCCCCTGCTGCCCCGAGCTCCATTCTGAAGGCACCCCTTGCTGGGTGCCTGCAGCAGCAGTGTGGTGGGAAATCACCTGTGCCCTCCAAGCCAGCCCAGACTGGCCGCAGCCAAATGGGCCAGTGCGCCCTGTGGGGCAGCACGGGCTGCAGCTGAGGTGGAAATTTGCAGAGTGGCTGCAAAAGGCCATTGCCATGACAGACAGTCCCCAGGCACAGGGACAAGACCCTAATCCGATTAAGAGGCTGATTCACCTGCTGTTATTCCTCTGCTGTTGTGCCCATCTGAAGGGATTTGGAGGTTAAAGAGCTGCTGTGGGGATAAAACCAACCATTAGAGGGATCAGTACAGGAGAACAGCATGGAGTGGGCCCGTATGAATGGAAATTACTTCTGCTTCTCTTCCTCCTGTTTCCCCTGCCTTCCTCCTTCCCCCTTCCCTGCCCCTCCTTCCCTCTTTATGGCCATCATTACCCATCCATGAAAAGTCATCTTGCTCCCACACCAGTAAAAGCAGACCCTGATGGGTCACAGAGTGCTTCCAGGCCAGGAGACTTCTCACACAAGCCATGTCTCTGCCTGTTTTCAATAGGCTGCAGAAACCCAGCATTTATTAACCATATTTTAAAAATAATATTAATGCTGCAGGTAACACTCCCCTCCAGCCTCTGTGTTTGATGTGGTCCTGCCTGTCCCAGGCTCACCCTCCTGCTGCCCCTCCCTGAGCGTTTCCCTGCTGCTGGTTCAGATGTAGCAGGAAAGCATCATTATCTTCCCTCTTTTAAAGCTCGGCCTTGCAGAGCTGAAAATGAATCTCCTATCACAGACGAGGCGAGTGCATTGCTAAGAACAGTTAAGATGCAGCCTGGGTTTTAATTTCAATGCCAGGGAATTCAGGCTGCAGAGAGGTAATAAATGCAGAGGCCACTGAGGCCATTCATTGTCATCCCCAGCTGGGCGAGCAGCTGCTGGCTCGGGATGGGAATGCCTGCCTGGCAATTCAGGGCTGCACTATTCCATCACACTCCTTGTAGCTCTGAAGGGTGAATTTGGGCAACTTCTGGAGTCTCCAGATCTGTTGAGAGGCACGGGTGTGTCGTGTGCCTGCTGTGCAGGTGAGCAGCCCAGGCAGCACCGATACCTTTATCTGCCCCACACAGCCCCGCTGCCTGGGCTATCAGAGCCTGCCTGGGGCTGCTGAGAGCGCCTCTCCCACGGCCCAGAAATGGAAAAATTTAATAAAGACTCATAGAACCCTGTGGTGAGGAGCTACAGTGTGACTGCAGATGTGAATGGCCCAAGGGGATCACGGTGATGGGCTCGAGCTACTGTGTCTCCAGTGAGATCACACAGTGCCAGACTGCTGCAGCTTGGGAGGGACCTTAAACCTCACCAGTGCCACCCTGCCATGGCAGGACACCTTCCCCTGTGCCAGGCTCCTCCAGCCCCAATGCCCCGCCTGGCCTTGGGCACTGCCAGGGATCCAGGGGCAGCCCCAGCTGCTCTGGGCACCCTGTGCCAGGGCCTGCCCACCCTGCCAGGGAACAATTCCTCATTGCCCAGGTCCCATCCAGCCCTGCCCTCTGGCACTGGCAGCCATTCCCTGGCTCCTGGCACTGCAAAAGGGAGAGGGACTGAGATAAAATCCAGGTCTCCAAGGGATTTTTCCAAGTTCACAGGACAATGCACCATGCCATGAATGGGATGTACCAAAACCACAACAGCCATGGCACGAGGTTTGCCTAGTGTGAGGATGAGGCAGAGGATGAGGCAAAGGATGAGTAAAGTTCTTCAAGGGAAGAAGAAATCACAGGTTCAAACAGAAAAGCAGACAGAGAATTCCAGAATCCCAGAATGGTTTGGGTTGGGAGGGGTTTTAAGGATCAACCAGTGCCACCCCATGGCAGGGACACCTTCCCCTGTGCCAGGCTGCTCCAGCCCCAGTGTCCAGCCTGGCCTTGGGCACTGCCAGGGATCCAGGGGCAGCCCCAGCTGCTCTGGGCACCCTGTGCCAGGGCCTGCCCACCCTGCCAGGGAACAATTCCTCATTGCCCAGGTCCCATCCAGCCCTGCCCTCTGGCACTGGCAGCCATTCCCTTGGTCCTATTTCTGCCTCCCCATGTAAGAAGTCCCTCTCCAGCATTCCCAGATCAATGGACCAGTATGTCTGTAATTGGAGGATTTCTAATGTCTGGATGAGACTTCTTAACCATCCCACAGGTAGACCCAAAGCCACAGATTCAAAGAATCCTGGAATGGTTTGGGTTGGATAATCACCCAGTTCCAGCTCCCTGCGCTGGGCAGGGACACATTCTACCAGAGCAGGTTGCTCCATGCCCCATTCAGCCTGGCCTGGAACAATTCCATGTCTGTGGTTGTGTCTGGATGCCTGACAGTTCAAGCATCCTGGCTTTGCCTTTCTGAGCACAGGGGCACAGCTTCACTGGAGGCCTGGAAACCAGGAAAACACCTGTGCAGGTGTCAGCCAGAGTCAGACAAAAGCCTGTAGGCAGAGCCTGACCTGGTGGAAATGGATGCTGCTGATGGGCTGTGACAGGGCAGGGTCCTGCTGTGCTTGTGCAAGGAGAGACCTCTGAAGGGCTCACACTGGACGCACGTGGGCAGAGCAAAGGAGCGTGTTCACAGCTGCAGCCCACCCTGGCATCCCACACAGGTATTCCTGGAAACCTGGAGCTGAGGAGGTGACATCTGCTTCACCAACACCATCCCTGCAAGTGTCCAAGGCCAGGCTGGAGAGGGCTTGCAGTGACCTGGGATAGGGGAAGGTGCCCTGTCCATGGCAGGGGGTAGAACAAGAAGAGCTTTAAAGTCCTTTCCAACCCAGACAATTCCATGAATCTAAAGTACCTCTCTGAGGGGTCTGTGCCTGTTCAGGGATGGGTGGAATGTCCATGCCTGTGGTGAACAGGCAGCCAGGGCTGAAGGAGAGAGAGATAAGAGGGTCCTGTGTCCTGGCCTGGCCTGTTAAGGGACTCACAGGGATTTCCTCGAAGACCACACCTCACTGCAGAGTGACCACTGCATGGGGACCCCCGGCAGGGACCCCCGCCCGTGCCAGCCAATGGCCCCGCTGCAGGGGCCGGCCAGGGGCTGGCCCAGGGCATAAAACCCGGCCCAGGCTCTGGGCTCAGCTCAGCTCTGTGAACTCCTGCAGCCACCATGGTGCACTGGTCAGCCGAGGAGAAGCAGCTCATCAGCAGCCTCTGGGCCAAGGTCAACGTGGAGGAATGCGGCGCCGAGGCCCTGGCCAGGTGGGTGCAGCTCCAGAAGGGCCCTGCAGTGCAGGGCACCACTGAGTCAGGCAGCTTCACCTGCCTGTGTCTCTCCCCAGGCTGCTGATCGTCTACCCCTGGACCCAGAGGTTCTTCTCTGACTTCGGGAACCTGTCCAGCCCCATGGCCATCATCGGCAACCCCAAGGTGCGTGCCCATGGCAAGAAGGTGCTGACCTCCTTCGGGGAAGCCGTCAAGAACCTGGACAACCTCAAGGGCACCTACTCCAAGCTGTCCGAGCTGCACTGCGACAAGCTGCACGTGGACCCCGAGAACTTCAGGGTGAGCTGTCCTTGGAGCTTTACCCTCTGTTCCTCCTTCCTCAGAGCATCTCAGTGCCTTGGGGGTTTCCAACAGGCATCAGTAACTTGTATTTTACTTACCAAACAGGACATGGCTGACTGGAGGGGGAACTGGGGGACAGGGGAAGGTTGGGAATTCAATGATGCAGGGTAATACTAGGCTCTGGGCTGCAAGGACAAATTTGGTGACAAACATAGGGGGATTCTCTAAAAGTCTGGGGGCTTGTGCAGGCATGGCTGGAGAAAAGGAGCAGGATGTTGGCCTCTGCTTCAGCCTCTGTTTAAACCTGGCTCTGGGGATGCAGAAGGTGGACCTCACACTGACCCTCAGCTGAAGTAGGTGTGGGGTTTCACAGCAGAAAAAGGAAAGGCAGAAAAATGTCTAGTGGCTGGAAAATGTGAGAGGAGGCAGAGATGGAGCAGGTGGGCACTCATGCCCACGGCCAGCACAGGGCTCTTGTCCTGCAGCTGGCAGAGCTTCCCTGAGCCACGGCCCCCACACCCACTGGGGAGCTGGGGTCCCTGGTCCTGGGCTGCTGTGCAGGGCGAGGGGGTGACCAGCACTCTGCTGACCTGATTTCTCTCTTGCCTTCCCCTCTGCAGCTCCTGGGTGACATCCTGGTCATTGTCCTGGCCGCCCACTTCGGCAAGGAGTTCACCCCTGCCTGCCAGGCCACGTGGCAGAAGCTGGTCGGGCTGGTGGCCCACGCCCTGGCCCGCAAGTACCACTGAGGCCTCGGGAGGCACCTGTGTCTGTAAAGGGCAATAAAAAACACATTTTCTGGAATTCTTTGTGTTGCGTGTCTCTGTGGCTGCCCCCTGCGCCTCTCCTCCTGGGATATTTGCAAGAATATAAATTCATAGAGATTCACTGATTACGCAGAAATTTACCCCTCCATAGTTTGCTACTGATGTATTAAGTTGATCAAAAGCATTTTCTGCATCAGTGATGGGGCAGGACTGGTGCATCTTGGTCAGAGTTTGGTATCTGAAATGTGTAAGATCCCAAGAGCAGGGGATGAGGGCAGTTCTCGCACAGGATGGGTTAGTCTTTTTTACTCATTTTGGCTTAATGAAGCACATATTTTCACTGGAATTGAAAGATGTAAGCATCTCAGTTTCAGCAATGTTTTGCCAGGAACAGCCTAAAAAGCAGCAAGGAGAGACATGTTGTTGTCTCAGAATGATAAAACTCCTGTTTTGCATGATTTAGGAAGAAATATTCTGCCTTCCTCCTGAGAGAACAGGGATGTGCACTTCACCCCTCTATCCTGCACAGCCAGGCAGGCAAGGTCCAGCTCTGCCAGCAGCACCAAAGGGCTGGGGGAAAAGAATTAGGGAAAAAAGCCCAAAATCTGAATCCAGCTTCCCTGCAGCATGGCTTCTCCTTTCAGCACAAAGGGCATTTCAGCAGGATGGCAGGAGGTGAGACCATCCGCATGTCCTGTTCCAGCTCAGAGCCGCGGAACTTTCCAGCACACAATGCTGGATGGTGGGTGCAGCCAGCAGCACCCGGGGGTGCCCAGGGCTGGGTCAGCACCCAGCGCAGTGGCTGGGGACCTCAGCGGGACTTTCCATCTCAATGAATGATCTCACTGTGATCATTCTGCTCTCCTCTCCTCTGGACATGTCCCAGTGGTGCTGTGGAGCATGTCCTGCTCTCTGACCAGTGCCTGGACAGTCCTGTTGTCCAGGGCTAGGGACAGTGACAAGGGTGTGGGGCCTGTGTCACAGAGCCAGCGTCACTCTCCCAGTGACAGCTGTCCCTCTCTGGTGTGACAAAGTCACAGCTACCACCAGCCTCCTGAGCCAAAAATAGGTCAGGAGAGTACAGGAGAGCCCTGGATGCAGGATGCCCCTGGATCCCTGGCAGTGCCCAAGGCCAGGCTGGACACTGGGGCTGGAGCAGCCTGGCACAGGGGAAGGTGTCCCTGCCATGGCAGGGTGGCACTGGGTGGGATTTGAGGTCCCTCCAAGGCAAACCTTCTGGGATTTTAGAATAGGGACAAAGACACCCCCAGGACCTGCTGGCTTAAGACACAAGGCCCTGCAGTCTCTGGAGGAGCGTGGAGCTGGCCTGGCTCCAGAGCAGAGCCTGGGCACAGATGCCACTGCTGCTGATAAGGGCTCTGTAAAGCTTGGCGGGGACACTGCTGCAATCAGGGACCAAGGAACTCTGCTTGGGGCAGGAGGGCCTCACTGCTGCTGCCTTTGGTCCTCGTTGGCATGGTTTGTCTCTAAAGGGAAGGTTCTTGTCCGTGGAAGGGGGCAAGTGTGTGGCCAAGACCTGTTCCACAGCCCCTCACTGCCTCACTGGTGCACGGTGCTGTGGACCCGTGGCCACTGCTGCAAACAGCCTCTGGGCCAGCCCGGCACAGCAGGCTTCCTTCAGATTTCTCCATGGCTCAATAATCTTCAAATGTAGAAGCCCCTGGAATTCCTTCTCAGGGAGTTTAAACTCATGTTTTTAGCTGGTGAGTGCCCTGGGGCACTGGTGCAGCTGCAGGAGAGGCTCTGGGTGCCCGGGGAAGCTGTGGCTGCCCAAGGCCAGGTTGGAGCAGCCTGGCACAGTGGAAGGTGTCCCTGCCATGGCAGGGTGGCACTGGGTGGGATTTGAGGTCCCTCCAAGGCAAACCTTCTGGGATTTTAGAATAGGGACAAAGACACCCCCAGGACCTGCTGGCTTAAGACACAAGGCCCTGCAGTCTCTGGAGGAGCGTGGAGCTGGCCTGGCTCCAGAGCAGAGCCTGGGCACAGATGCCACTGCTGCTGATAAGGGCTCTGTAAAGCTTGGCGGGGACACTGCTGCAATCAGGGACCAAGGAACTCTGCTTGGGGCAGGAGGGCCTCACTGCTGCTGCCTTTGGTCCTCGTTGGCATGGTTTGTCTCTAAAGGGAAGGTTCTTGTCCGTGGAAGGGGGCAAGTGTGTGGCCAAGACCTGCTCCAGTAGAAGGCTCCCTGCATGTGGCAGAGGGGGTGGAATGAGATATCCTGAAGATCCCTTCCAGCCTTAACCATTCCATCATCCTATGATTCCAGGAGTTCAGGGATCTTCCAGCCACACCAAAGGGAACAGCCCTGGAAGGATGCTGGAGGGAAGGGTCCTGAGCATAGTGAAATCTATCCCAGGTGGAGAGCAGGGCCTGCTTTTCTGTCTGGGAACCAGCTGGGAATAAGCTGTCAGGTGCTGCTGGGTTTGCACTGGGGGAAAGAGATCTCCCTTTGACTCTGCAGACTCAAGAAGAGCTACAGACATGGCCCCTGCTCAGCACATTGAGATGAACATTTCCCCTCCCAGCCTGTGTCCCAGAGAGCTCCCTGAGCAGGCAGTCCCTGAGCTCCCTAATCTCCCAGCCAGGCTGCTGCCCCCAAGGCAGCAAGCAGGGGATTTTCAAGCATACTGAGAATTAAGTCTTTCTTATAAAATTGAATGGAGCACCAGGGTGAGCCCAAGGCTGGGACTCTCTGGGCTGTGCTTGCCTTTGGTTTTTGCCTGGTCTCTGCAGGACTGCTCAGAGCTGGGGCAGTGCTGACCAGGCTCAGCCTGCCATCCTTGCAGGCACCTGGGGGCTGGGTCTGCTCACTGGAGAGGTGACACAGCCCCTTACTGCCTCACTGGAGAGGTGACACAGCCCCTCACAGCCTCACTGGTGCACGGTGCTGTGGACCCGTGGCCACTGCTGCAAACAGCCTCTGGGCCAGCCCGGCACAGCAGGCTTCCTTCAGATTTCTCCATGGCTCAATAATCTTCAAATGTAGAAGCCCCTGGAATTCCTTCTCAGGGAGTTTAAACTCATGTTTTTAGCTGGTGAGTGCCCTGGGGCACTGGTGCAGCTGCAGGAGAGGCTCTGGGTGCCCGGGGAAGCTGTGGCTGCCCAAGGCCAGGTTGGAGCAGCCTGGCACAGCGGAAGGTGTCCCTGCCATGGCAGGGGTGACACTCCATGGGCTTTAAGGTGCCTCCGAGCCCAGACTGGTCTGGGATTGTATGATTCCATGTGCACAGCACCGCGAAGGATTCCCTTGGCAGGAGGGGATGTTCCCCAGCAGGGACACAGCCCTGGAGCGCCCAGCGGGCCGGCAGCTCCACCTGTGCTCGGGGCTGAGGTGATGCTTGTCCCTGCACAGACAGAGGGGGGAAATGGCCTCTCTCCCCCTTGGACAGCCTCCAAAGCCACTATCTCCCTTTGTGCAGCCCCGCTCCCTCCCCAGCCCCAAGCAGTGGCTCCGTGGACTGAGATTAGGCTGAGCCGTGTATAAAAATCCCTGGGGCAGCCTCGGGAGCCACGTCCTCGGCATTGTTCAGGGAAGCTCGGGCAACCTCCTGCCAACACCATGGTGAACTGGACAGCTGAGGAGAAGCAGCTCATCACCAGCCTCTGGGCCAAGGTCAACGTCGCCGACTGCGGCGCTGAGGCCCTGGCCAGGTAAGTGCAGCTCCAGAAGGGCCCTGCACCTGCAGAGGGAAACACTTCCATCCCTGGAACATCTCTGTGTCTTGTCTGTGTCCCTCCACCTCTCCCCAGGCTGCTGATTGTCTACCCCTGGACCCAGAGGTTCTTTGCCTCCTTTGGGAACCTGTCCAGCCCCACCGCCGTCCTTGGCAACCCCATGGTCCGTGCCCATGGCAAGAAGGTGCTGACCTCCTTCGGGGATGCTGTCAAGAACCTGGATGGCATCAAGAAATGTTTTGCTCAGCTGAGCAAACTCCACTGTGACAAGCTGCACGTGGACCCCGAAAACTTCAGGGTGAGCCACGCTCAGCTCCAGCCTGGGCTGGGCAGAGGGCTGGGCTCAGGAGGGGCTTCAGGGTCTCAGAGGGCTCTGACAGTCACTGAGACCTCGAGAGAAACCCTGGGACTGCCTGAGAGCTCGTGGAGGGTTGGGACAGTGGAGGGGAAAGGAGAGTCATATTTGGGGAGAACAGAGAGGAGTTATGGGGCTGGGATCTGTGAGGGAGGCAAGGCAGGCAAGGTGAATGGGCAGAAATGCACAGACCAATGTGTTCTGGGCAGAAGAAACAGCATGGAGCAGCCAGAGGGAAGGAACTGAGACAGGGTTTAGAGGGAAGAGCTGGGTTTGGGAGTGGGAGTGGTTAAAACCAGAAGGGAAAAAAGCTCAGCCACTTTGGCAGGAGGGTTCTGAGCCCAGGGACAGCCAGGGTGGGAGGGATGGAAAAGGAAGGGGTAAACTCAGTAGAAGCCAAGGGAGGACCCTGCGGAGCGGGCACAGGAAGGTGCTGAGACCCCAAGCTGTGCTGAGAGCCTGGTGCATGGATGGGGCCAGGACAAATCTGCTCCCTGCTGTGCTGTGAACTGCCCAGAGAGCGGAGGGCATGGTGGGGAGGGGTGTGGGGGCAGCACGGCTGACAGCTCCTGCTCGCTCCCCACAGCTCCTGGGTGACATCCTCATCATTGTCCTGGCCGCCCACTTCGGCAAGGAGTTCACCCCCGCCTGCCAGGCTGCCTGGCAGAAGATGGTCCGTGTGGTGGCCCACGCCCTGGCCCACGAGTACCACTGAGCCCCTGGGAGCCTTCCTGCCTGGAGACACTCCTGGGGAATCTCCTCGGGTTCTGCTGGGCTCTAACCACCCAATAAACACCAGTTGCTCCAGCCACCAGGAGATGTCTGGCTCTTTGTGGGAACGGGGAGGGAGGGACAGGGGGCTCACAAACATGGGATAACGCGAGCCACGATCCCCTTCAGGCAAGTGAAACTTGTCTAAGATGGAGATCCCAGGGGAGTGTTCAGGACAAAACTCAAATAAACACCACAAAATACAAACAGGAACACTCTGGCACTTTTTGGGGACATCAGGTGACATTGCTTGGTTTAATGTTTGAAGACTTTCACAGAGTGAGCGGAGTAGAACTGTGCAAAAATGTGAAGTGGGAGAAGTGACAGAGAAATTGGGGTCATGGCTTGTAACTTCCTGCATGTGAGGTTTTGTTGGCTTGGGGTTTTTTAAAACCCCAAGATTCTTAGATTAGCAAAGGCAGAAGGTAACAGACACAACCCTCAAGACTTGGTTGGATGGGACTTGGAAAAATCTTGGGACAGTGGAAGATGTCCCTGCCCCCCTGTGGCAGGGGAGGGACTGGATGAGATTTCGGGTCCCTTCCAGCACAACCCAGTCTGGGGTTCTGTGTTTCCATGAAACACCAGTGCTGCTTGCAGAGGGAACAGTGCCACCCCCAGCCTGGCCAGGGTCCTGTGGCCAAGCCCCTGCTGCAGTGAGCAGGGACAAATACAAACACTTTGCTATAAGGTCATGCAGACCCCAGCAGGGCATTCCCATGCCCCATGAGCTCCATCCCTGTCCCCTCCCACCTTCAGCTGGGCACAGGAGCAGAAGAGCAGAGACCCAGCTGCCTCTCCCAGTTCTCATGACACCACTGATCCTCTGGCTGCTGAACCCCTGGATCAGGCACTATCAGGCTGCACATCTGTGCAGATGTTTTTTCTTCCTGGAAAGGGTGCTCAGGCCTTGGCAGGGGCTGCCCAGGGAGCTTTGCAGTGCCCATCCCTGCAGGTGTCCCCTGGGGGTGGCACTGAGTGCTCTGGGCTGGGGACAAGGTGGCCATGGGGCACAGCTGGCACTGCCTGGGCTGGGAGGGCTGTGCCAGCCCCGGGAATTTGGGGATTCCGTGGGATCCCAGTAATCCCAGTGTTTTCACCTCTCCTCATGCCCTGTGAGTCAGCAGGGAGCTGGTTTGCCCTGGGTTATAACATCTCCTTTCCAGCCCTGCCTGACCTCTGCCAAGAGGTTCTTTGAGACAGGAGCTCCCTCTTGGCTGTGAAGCCTTGCCATGGTTTTAGCAGTGTCATCCTGAAGTTAATCAAACTCCTAAAGAGCTGACGGGAAAGCAAAGGGAGAGCCCAAAGCCTAACAGGTCCTGCAGGAAGAGGAGAACCTGGAGCATTCAGAGGGAGATCCCAGGAGCCCCAGGTCTGTGTCTCCTGCCTCAGGGGCTGGCACACCCAAGGGGCACCAGGGCTGGCAGCTTCCCCGGGGAGTGCTGCAGGACGTGCACGGAGCCGTGCTGGGGCTCTGCGTGGAGATAACGGCCCCTTCAGCAGGGCTGGAAATCAGGGACGGGGAGGGCGGCTGGCCAGCCAAGCCCGGCGCTGGGTCTGGGCACCTTGCCCCGGGCCCCACCCTGGTGCTGGGTCCCCTCCCCCGGGTGCCAGGGCTGTGGGGGCCCCCGGGGCGCAGCCAATGAAGGGGTGCAGCGGGGAGAGGAGGGGCCCCGCGCAGGGGATAAAAGCGGGGCCGGGCAGCGGCTCCCCAGCGTGCGATCCTTCGGGAGCAAGAGCCCAGAGTTCCTCCGTGCGACACGCAGCCCTCCTGCCAACACCATGGTGCAGTGGACAGCTGAGGAGAAGCAGCTCATCACCAGCCTCTGGGGCAAGGTCAACGTCGCCGAGTGTGGTGGCGAGGCCCTGGCCAGGTAGGTGCAGCTCCAGAAGGGCCCTGCACCTGCAGAGGGAAACACTCCAGCCACAGGAGCGCTGATGTGACTCTGTCTGTGTCTCTCCCCAGGCTGCTGATCGTCTACCCCTGGACCCAGAGGTTCTTCGCCTCCTTTGGGAACCTGTCCAGCCCCACCGCCGTCCTTGGCAACCCCAAGGTGCAAGCCCATGGCAAGAAGGTGCTGACCTCCTTCGGGGAAGCCGTCAAGAACCTGGATGGCATCAAGAACACCTTTTCCCAGCTGTCCGAGCTGCACTGCGACAAGCTGCACGTGGACCCCGAGAACTTCAGGGTGAGTCCTGCCCTGACCTGCCCTCCCCAGTGCAGGCTGTCCCCGCAGCCTGATCCCCACCAGGAGAGGGATTTCCCCAGCCAGGGCAGTGCGGGAGGAAGAGGGGCTGGGGCTGGCTTGGGGGGAGATGCAGAGGGACAGGGAGGGAAGGGAAGCAGTGCAGCCTGGTGGGGAGGCACCGCATGGGCTGAGAGGTGACAGGGGCTGTGGGCAGGGGGCAGGGGAGGGGAGGATGTGGCTCCAGTGAGGAAATGGAGGGGGAGAACAAAGTGAGAGCAGTTGTTGAGCAGGAAGAGGTTTGAGCCAAGGGGGAAGAGAAGGAGCAAGAGCAAAGTTTGGCACAGAGGAGAACAGAGAGATGAGTGAGGAGCAGGAGATGGCAGCTGGATGCCAGAAGTAAAAGAGGATCTACAGAGAGAAAACTTTGGCTGAGAGTGTCTCAGTGGGGAGTTAACCCCACCATTTGTCCCTAGGCTGGGGCTGGGGCTGGCAGAAATGCCCCTGTGTCAACATGAGCTCCTTGTTTGTGCTCTGTGGGTCCAAGCGCCATCTCCTGCTGCCCTGGGAGCTCAGCTGGGTCTTCTGCTTGAGAGAAACTCCAAAACAAAGCCAGAAGGGACAAAGAAAAATTTACTCCAAAAATCTCTGGAGAATTTTTGGTTACTCTTCCCACACGGTAGCAGAACCTGAACCTTTAGAGCAAGAGCAGAGACCAAGTTTAAGGTGCATCTTAGAAAGGACCTGGGGGAGGTTTTAAACACTGCAGATTCCCAGAGGCTTCCCTGGGTGCAATGTGAGTGCTTGTGTGGGGCACTGCTAACCTGAGGCTGCTCTTGTCCCCACAGCTCCTGGGTGACATCCTGGTCATTGTCCTGGCCGCCCACTTCGGCAAGGACTTCACTCCCGACTGCCAGGCCGCCTGGCAGAAGCTGGTGCGTGTGGTTGCCCACGCCCTGGCCCGCAAGTACCACTGAGGAGCCGCAGGAGCGCCTGGCAGCGCCCGCACCCGCTGCCGCGGAGCCAACCGCTTCTAACAGCCAAATAAAGCTCATCCTGTGAACTCTGCCGCGTCCGTGTGTCCCTGAGGGCGTGCAGGGCTTGGGGGCACAGCTGGCAGCTCCAGCGGGGCCGCAGAAAATACCCCTGCCTTTGTTCTGGGTGCTTTCGGTGGGGTTGGCACCGGGGGCTTTGCACGGAGAACTACTCAGAATTTTACCGTCAAACCTGCGTGTCTCTCCTAGACGAGGGAAATTGAGAGGACTCATATTTTTTGGGGGGGGAAGATAAACAAATTGAAGACTTTAATCTACCCTGGCTCATCCCTGGCATAAAACCTACCCAAAATCAGCTGAGTCACACAGGCCCAGCAGCCAGCTGGGTGGGGGCAGGTTTTAGATAAACATTTTGCTATCAAGGCCGGAGCAGACTTTGTTTATTCACATCCCTCCCACCCTGCGCCGCCCACTCTGCAATTGGGGGGGCCTGATTCTGCCAGGAGCAGAGACTTAATTTCCTGGATGGGAGTTTTGGGTGGGTTTGGGTGTCTGCAGAGCAGGACTCTTTGGGTAGGGTTTGTTCTTGGCATGGGAAGCACATCTGAACAGAGCATGACGAGGCAAAAGCGATGCTTGGCTGAAAGGATGTGCCACTTCTAAGGGGAAATACTGGGCTATTCAGACCAGGATTTCTGGCAGCCAGGTTGCACTGTGCTCTGCCTCACCCACATCTCTGGGCACTCACTCTCTGCCCCTGACCCACAGGAAGGTGTTAGAAGCCCTCTGTGACCCATAAATGCCCTTTCTCAGTCACGACACCCAAAGAAAGAGGCATTTTGTTCCTGCTGGCAAGGTACACACTGAGAGGGAGAGAAGATGATTCACAGTCAGTCCCAAAGGGTTTTTCTCCCTGCAGGGAGACTGGGCAGGCACAGATATTTCATGACTTTTCATAGGCTTCATGAGAGATATGAGTAGTTTCCCATGAAGGTGAGTGTTCATGGGCTTCAGGCAGAAAGGAGTGACCTGTGTGAATGAGCAGATCTCCTCCTGCCAGCAGTGTGTCTGGGGGTGGGAAGGACAACGGAGCTGCAGAGGGACTGGGGACAAGGCTGGAGGGACAGCACACAGGGAATGGCTGCCAGTGCCAGAGGGCAGGGCTGGATGGGATCTGGGCAATGAGGAATTGTTCCCTGGCAGGGTGGGCAGGGGCTGGGATGGAATTCCCAGAGCAGCTGGGGCTGCCCCTGGATCCCTGGCAGTGCCCAAGGCCAGGCTGGACACTGGGGCTGGAGCAGCCTGGCACAGGGGAAGGTGTCCCTGCCATGGCAGGGTGGCGCTGGCTGGGATCTGAGGCCCCTCCAGCCCAGCCCATTCTATCATTCCATGATCCCACAACCCGAGCAGACCCCCAAGGCTCTGGCATTCCCTGCACCTGCACAGCAGGATGGGAACAGCCCTCAGTGCTGCTGCCTTGTGCCTTCACTCCCACCTGCATTCCCCCCTGCTCCGAGTGCCCCAGCACACAAATCCTGGGGGGTGTCCTCTGCCCGTGCTGCTTTTCCTGCTCCCACTCCCTGATGTCAGAACACCCCTGTGGGTGCCAGCACCCCCTGGGTGGTGCCCAGTGCAGCACTGGCAGCACCCCGGTCCTGGAGGGGCTGATAAGGGGGTGCAGGAGGGTGGGCACTGGTGGTAGCCTGGCAGCCTTTTCCCTGCATATTCCCTCTTCCTGCCCCTGCCAGGCTGAGCTCGCCTTCATTTGCCATGGTGGTCCAGCCCCCAGCTGTGGGGACTGGATTTTCTGGAGAAAAGGCAAATGTAAGCAAAGCTAATGAAGATCATTCAGTCCTGTTCCACTAAAAAAGAGTCTACAATTAGTTGGGGGGAAAGATATTGTCAGGCTGGAGAGCTCCCTTGCTATTTGCTTTCTTTTAATTGCTTTTCCTGCCGTATTTTCAGTGCAGAAGACACTTAGCAGGAGATGGTCCCTGGAGGAAGGGCTGATGTGTGAGAGGAGCTTGGTCAGCCCGGGGGCTCTGCTGCAGCCTGGTCACAGCCTCACCCATCCCCGGTCTGCAGGAGTCAGCAGCTCCTCCTCAGCCCAGTCCAAACCCTCTGGAAAACAACAGGAAAGCAGTGCACCGACCCTGGCACCTTGGCATCAAAACCCTGTGCTGATTTCGGCAAGAATGGTGTTTCCCGGGGCTTTGTGCACAAACAACAGAGGAAATCTCCCCGGGGCATTGCTCCTGGCGAGGGAGCTGCACCCCTGGTAGCTCCAGGGTGTGCCAGGGGAATCCAAACCTCTCCTGCAGGAGAGCCTGGCTGGCTGAACGTGGCAGGGGGCACTGGGCAGGTTCAGAAGGGGCTCCCCCACAAGCTGGACATCCCTGAGCTGAGCCTGTGCAGGTTTTAGAGCCCACAGCAGAAGCTGCAGCAGCAAACCCCGTGCTCCAAGGCCGTCTCAGTGCTGCTCAGGGATGTGGCTGAAGGCAGGAGGGGTGATGCTGCGTGGCCCTGCTCCTGCCCACAGCACTGCAGCGGGCTGCTCCTGGCACAGCTGAGGGGACAAGGTCTGGGTGGGCCTCAGGCAGCAGGGTGAGCTTCATGGTCCTTCCAACCCAAACCATTCTGACACTCTGTCTTAGAATATCTCCAACTGGAAAGCACCAACCATGATAACCAAAGTCCAGCTCAGAATTTGGACTCCAAAGTCCAACTATAATTCCTCCTGCTCCAAAAGGCACAAATAAATCCAAGAGGTCAAGTTCTGTTACAGGAGAAGGACAAGGGGGTTAATGCAGATTTGGCTGCAGAGCCTGAGCATCCTCTGAGCAGCTCCAGCACAGCTCCTGGCGGTGCAAGGACACCAAGGCCTTGGGCAGGGCAGGGACCTGCAGGGTTTGCTGGGGGCAAACCCCTCTGCGTGGCTCTGCCATGGGCTGCATTTTGAACACTCACCACTTCACTGACGCCAGGCGCAGCCCGGTGTGCAAAGAGCTGGGGCAGGAGCTCAGGGTGAAGGAGCAGCCCTGAGCCCCTGCCCACGGCGGTGGGCATGGGCACTGCTGGGGCTCCTGCAGCCCCTCTCCGCACAGCCCGCGCTGGAAGGGGAAGGAGCTGCCCCACGGAGGGGATGGGATAAAGCTCTGGAGCTCAGGATAACCAGAGGCCCCTTCTGGGGTGCCACGCCCTGGCCATCCCCTCCTGCTCCCCCGGGACCCCCGCGCGTGCCAGCCAATGGCCCCGCTGCAGGGGCCGGCCAGGGGCTGGCCCAGGGCATAAAACCCGGCCCAGGCTCTGGGCTCAGCTCAGCTCTGTGAACTCCTGCAGCCACCATGGTGCACTGGTCAGCCGAGGAGAAGCAGCTCATCAGCAGCCTCTGGGCCAAGGTCAACGTGGAGGAATGCGGCGCCGAGGCCCTGGCCAGGTGGGTGCAGCTCCAGAAGGGCCCTGCAGTGCAGGGAACCACTGAGTCAGGCAGCTTCACCTGCCTGTGTCTCTCCCCAGGCTGCTGATCGTCTACCCCTGGACCCAGAGGTTCTTCTCTGACTTCGGGAACCTGTCCAGCCCCATGGCCATCATCGGCAACCCCAAGGTGCGTGCCCATGGCAAGAAGGTGCTGACCTCCTTCGGGGAAGCCGTCAAGAACCTGGACAACCTCAAGGGCACCTACTCCAAGCTGTCCGAGCTGCACTGCGACAAGCTGCACGTGGACCCCGAGAACTTCAGGGTGAGCTGTGTGAGCAGCCCCAGCCCTGCCCTGGCTGTGGGGACAGCCAGAGCTGGCTGCTGCTCTGCCCAGGGACATTTTCTGGGGTTGCTGGGGAACAATCCCTGTGGAGTACCCAAGAGAGGTGATGGTTTGTACAAAGGTCTTTGCAACAGTGTCTGTGATTTTCTCCCTCAAAAGTCCCATTTTTAGTGCCAGCACAGCACAAGGGAGGGGCAGGGATGGAGAGAACACCTGGAGGAGCCTGGTGTTACCTGCAGGAGGGATGGTTACCTGCAGGAGATCTGGCTGGGGAGCAGCCCCAGGGGCAGGTGCAGCCTGGGCTGGAGGGGTCAGAGCAGAGGGGAGCTCAGCAGAGCATTTCAGCAAATCCAAGCTCCCACAGCCAGAACCAAGGAGCAGGGTCCTGCCTTGCCCAGCACGGGGCGTGGCACATTCCCTCCTCCTCCTCCAACACTTGTAATTTAAAAGGATCATTCTCTTCATTTATGTCTAAAGAAAAAAAAGTGTTTTTCAGGGTGGGTCTCAGGCCAAATCCAAATGCTTCAGCATTCCGAAAATGGGGAACTAGTTCGAGGTTCTTTCTTTCTGGTTTTGTTTTATTTTTAAGAATGAGACAAATATTGTTTTCCCAGAGCTGTCTGTGGAAAGACAGGATTCTGCTGTGGCAGGGAGCAGGGAGTGAGCCATGCCTGTAACCAGGGCTGAGGAGGAAGAGGAGGAGGAGTGTGCAGGGAGGGCGATTCTGCCTCAGAGAGAAGTCAGGGGAGGAAACCTGTGGGCTGCAGGAGGGGTCTGGGGGGGAGAGGGACTGGGGAGGGGGGAAATCTGCACAGAAAAAGCAGGGAGACACAAAGGAGAAGCCGGTGGTGGTGAGGGGGTTCCAGTGCCAGCAGAGCCTTGGTGCCAGCAGGTCTGGCAGCCCAGCCCCAGCCGGGACAGTTCTGCCCTGGGTGACCGGGGCTGGGGCTGACCAGGGGCTCCATCAGCACTGACCTACATGTCCCTCTCTCCTCAGCTCCTTGGGGACATCCTCGTCATCGTCCTGGCGTCCCACCTGGGCAGGGATTTCTCCCCTGTGTGCCAGTTTGCCTGGCAGAAGCTCGTGGGTGTGGTGGCCCACGCTCTGGCCCACAAGTACCACTGACCACCCCGGGGACAGCAGGAGCCCCGGGCCAGTGCCAGCCCCATGGGGAGCCCTGACCCCGATAAACCCTCTGATAAACCTTCCAATACCCCTCCAATAAACCCTCCAATGAACCCGTCTGCCAGCTCCTGTGCAGTGTCCGTGTGTCCGTGCTGGGCAGGGAGGGGCTGGGCTGCTGTGGGTGACACCTGGGCTGGGGGCTGGGACAGCCCAGGACCCCCAAACCCTGCAGGGCTGGGGCAGCCTGGGGTTCCCCAGCTCTGCAGGTAGGGTCCTTCCCACCCAAACCAGTCTGGGATTTTCGTGGTGGGCTCCAGGAGGAGAGGTGCCATCTCCCACAACGGTGATTTCTATAATTTAACACTTTCCCAATGCCTTTTCCTACCCATTTTGCCAAAGAGCAATCCTCCTCTCCTGAATTCTGCTCGGTCATTACTCTCTGCTGTTGCTGTGGGCATTCCCTTCCTTTCTGTCCCAGGCAGCACCACGTGCAGCTCATTCATCAAAGGTTTGTGATGCTGTGGGAGAACAATCCATCATCCTGCTGGGCTGAGCTTCCCACCATTCCAGAGCTGCATTCAGAGGGACTCAGGAGTTTTCCATCTTTTCTAAATCAGACCTGAACCAAATCTGTGCTGATTGCGACTCCCAGCATCTTTTAGAGAATTCTTATTCAAATGTTAGTCAGGAGCAGGTGAACCAGGGGACTATCAGATGTAATTATTTTTATCTTGGCCTTATCCCCACACTTATCAAAATTGCTGGAGCAGAAGAAGTCCCCAGTTCACTTCTTAGCACAAGCCAAAAATACTCTTTGAGCAGCTCTGTGCTGCCCCTGCCGGGGTTATTTTTCATGTATTTATAGACATGATTTTACACCTCTCAAGGGAATTCTGTCAGGAGTGGCAGCAGTTCAGGAGCCCGAGCTGGTGGGGTTGGATTGCCATCACAACATCAGCTGCTCCTGGGATGTGTGTGCTGTGTTTGACACTGCTGCAAGGAGGGGGACTGGCACTGCCCTTGCTCTGATGTTTAAAAGATGCTTCGTGGCTTTTCAGAGGTAAATAAAGACATTGTTTTCTCCAGGAACGGAGTGGAAATTCCCGACTTGCCCAAAGAATCTCTGCTCCTGCAGGGCCTGTTTCAGTTTTTGATGCCGTGCCGTGCCTCAGAGATATCTGGACAGAAAATCTCTTTGCTGTGGCACAAAGGGACCTGGCAGATTTCCTGGGATGCCCCTAATGCACATGGCCAGAGCAGAGGTGAGGCTGCAGGGAGGGGAGCTGCAGGGGCAGCCTGGGAACAGGATCACAACTTTCTCCTCTCCCACTGCCACAATCCGATGTCATGGCAACTGCAGGAGAGCTGCAAAGGGCCTCAGAAATAGCACGGGGATGTTCAGAGATTTCTGATCCCTTGGTGGCTTTGGAGGAAGGAAGGTTGGAAGCCCCAGAGGGACTTGTCAGAGCTGATTTGCCTCATCTTTCCTTTGTTCCACCCCCCTGCCTCCTCCCTCTCTGTCAGTGCCCTTCTAGCCCAAATTCTCTGCAGCAGAGACCCAGACACGTGCAGCAATCACATTTCTGAGCTGCTGCCGAGTTTCTCTTTCCCACCCCTGAGTCTTACCTGGCTTGGGGTGAAGTGCAGGAGTCTCACTGCCTGCACACAGCGACCTCCGAGACCAGACCTGGAGCTCTGCCCAGCCTCTGCTCTGGCTCAGCCTCTCAAGGCATCCCCTGCACCTCTGTGCCCAGGTCAGCTGAGGGCTGCTGTGCAGACAGGGCACCCTGCTCCTCCTCCTCTTCAGCCCTCTCTCCACAAAGTTCTGCCATGGGAAAACCCGGCTCTTGTCAAGCTCTTGTCAAAACCCAGCTCTTGTCAAGCACGTGGAGAAGGGAGCGTGAGGCTGTTGCAGTGACCCGAATCCCAGAACCAGTGGGCTGGAAAGCCCTGCGAGCTGCCGGAGCCCCGGCTGTGCCGATGCCCAGCGGGTCAGTGTGGCTGGGGTGCTGCCCCAGCTCCTCTGCAGCCTGGCTGGGGGCCCTGGGCAGCCCTGTGGCTGCAGGGTGGGACTTGTCCCCCCTCTTACCCATTTTTGCCTAGACCAGAGCAGTGGGTGATGCACAGGATGAATAAATCATCCACTTATTTCTGGGGGGTGTTGCAGAGGATGAGGATGCCGTGCAGGTCCGAGTTTGCACGCCCAGATTCAAACACTAAAATCTGCATTTTCGTGTTGAAGGCCATTAGAGCACGCTGGAAAGCTGTCTGCTAATTGAACTTACCGAGCTAATGACTGAGCTGCCCAAGTGAGGAGCGGAGGCGCAGATGTCTGGAGCTCTGTCAGACGTGGGGCAGGTGAAAATACTCCAATTCCATTTCTCACGGCATGCTGATGAGTTCAGCCTCGGCTAAACAATGCCAAGTTCCCTGTTTGCACAGACAGATTGAGTCTTCCATGAACTTGGGGGCTGGAAAAGTTTAATTTCTCCCACTCCAGCCCCTAAAAAGAGCAGTGGGCAGGTCAGGAACTCCTTAGTGTCAGCTTCAGGGCTATTATAGACTGCTTTTAATTTTTTCCTTACAACCCCAAATGAGCTGCCCAAGTGAGGAGCGGAGGCGCAGATGTCTGGAGCTCTGTCAGACGTGGGGCAGGTGAAAATACTCCAATTCCATTTCTCACGGCATGCTGATGAGTTCAGCCTCGGCTAAACAATGCCAAGTTCCCTGTTTGCACAGACAGATTGAGTCTTCCATGAACTTGGGGGCTGGAAAAGTTTAATTTCTCCCACTCCAGCCCCTAAAAAGAGCAGTAGGCAGATCAGGAACTCCTTAGTGTCAGCTTGAGGGCTATTATAGCCTGCTTTTAATTTTTTCCTTATAACCCCAAAGGCACTGTGAAAAATGCGTATTTTATGACTGGCTTTTCGCAAATATTAAAATGAATATTGTATGTGTTATGTTAGAAAGCTTTGCTGTATTAATTTTCTTAAGTAGTGTGTTAAATATAGTTTTGGGTTATAACATAATGTTAAAATAGAAACTATGTATGTGGGATATTTTTTAAAAGAAAGGAATGAGGTACTCACACTGAGCAGCCACAGGACACCTAAATCTTTCAGAGAAAGAGAATTTATTGCCCCATTATCAGAATAAACTAACTTCTCAGCCATGAAGGCCCCGTTAGGATTCAGAGGAAGAAGCTGACACTGCCCAGACAGAATCCTGTGTTTGAATGGAATTTATGCATCATGTATGAGATGTACAAATATGCAACAGGCTGTTGCTTTTAAGGGTAATCTTCTGTTAATGTGGGCCCTTTTTCGGGTTTATTTTGTCCAGAAAAGGTACCTGGACTGTCTGTAACTCTTTGTTTTTATTGTCTCATATTGTCCTAATCCAAATGGTCCAAATTTTTATTCCTCTAATTATATTGCTATTTTTATAACCATTTTATTACTATTACACTTTTAAAAATTTAAAAACAAGTGGTGGGCGTTTTTCACAGGCAGCGTTCTGCATTCCAGGCTGAGCCCTTGGAGCATCTCTGCTCTCTGTGGTTTGTGTTCCTCGGAGCCCAGCATTCCCCGAGGGCTCCGAGTGCTGGGCTGGCAGCTCTGGGCTCGGGCACGTCTCCTAATTTTCCTCACAGCTACAGCTGCAGCTGCAATAGCAGCATTCCCGATAAGAATTACAGCTGCTGTGTGTTTTCCTAATAAATATCTGCTGAAGTGCCTGGCACTGGGAGCAGCTAGGGCTGCAGCACGGGCAGCAGCAGCTGGAACGGTGAACGGGCTTGGGAACGAAGGGAAACAAAGAGCCCTGGGTTTGCCAAAGCCTTGGACCCGTGAGAGCGAGCTGTGCCCTCGGGGCCAGCGCGGGTGACAGCGAGTTCTGGCATCGCAGAGCCGGGGCAGGGACCGCTGCAGCCTTGCCTTGCCTCGCCTTCCCCGGCCCGAGCGAGGGGAGACACGCAGGCTGCAGCTGGGGACAGCGGGGACAGCGGGACCACGAATGCTCCGGGCTGGGGGGACCTCAGAGCTCCCCTGTCCCCCCGGGCCTGCTCGGGGCTCTGCCACAGTGGCTCCAGCCGGAGGGGACCGGGATGTCCCACATCCCACGACCCGATGCTGCTAATGAATCCCTTCGCAGGGGAAATGGGACTCTGGGGTTGCTGCAGGATTTGTTTTGCTCTGCGTTGTCAGCAGGGAGCTCCTGGAGCTCGCACAGGAGAGCAGGGCAGCTCTGGGCTGGTAACTGCTGCCCTCTGTGTCTTTATAGCGCTGTGAAAGCCTCGGTTCCACGGAACGTGTGCTTCCTTCTGCTGCAACAAGCTTAGTGCACCCCAACACCCCCAGAGCCCCGGGACTGCGGGCAGCACCGGGATCACCGGTGCCACGGGCTCAGGGAAGGAGCTGCAGCGCCACTCGCCCTCTCAGCACCCTCCTTGGGCGCTGCTGCTGCGTGTGACACACCTGCTCTTGTGCAGATCACCCACGGGGATTTCTCAAACTGGGGCTCAGCCCCACGACCCGCGGAAGGGTCTCAGCCTGTTCCTCGTTCTCCCAGTGCAGCCTCTGGTCAAGCTGCAGATCCCAGAGAACATCCTAGAGAACATCCCACAGCTGATCCCGCAGCAGATCCCACAGCACATCCCACAGCTGATCCCAGAGAACATCCCACAGCAGATCCCACAGCAGATCCCACAGCACATCCCACAGCTGATCCCAGAGAACATCCCACAGCAGATCCCAAACACCCCCAGAGCCCCGGGACTGCGGGCAGCACCGGGATCACCGGTGCCACGGGCTCAGGGAAGGAGCTGCAGCGCCACTCGCCCTCTCAGCACCCTCCTTGGGCGCTGCTGCTGCGTGTGACACACCTGCTCTTGTGCAGATCACCCACGGGGATTTCTCAAACTGGGGCTCAGCCCCACGACCCGCGGAAGGGTCTCAGCCTGTTCCTCGTTCTCCCAGTGCAGCCTCTGGTCAAGCTGCAGATCCCAGAGAACATCCCGCAGCAGATCCCGCAGCAGATCCCACAGCACATCCCACAGCTGATCCCAGAGAACATCCCACAGCAGATCCCACAGCAGATCCCACAGCACATCCCACAGCACATCCCACAGCAGATCCCACAGCTGATCCCACAGCAGATCCCACAGC